GAAAGAGAGAGAGAAGGAAAGAAGGAGGAAAAGAGAGAAAGGAAGGAAGGAAAAAAAGGAAAGAGAGAAAAAAGGAAAGGAGAGAAGGAAAGGAGGAAAAGAAAGAGGGCAAGGAGATGGGGGGGAGAAAGGCTCTCCCACCCCACCCCCATCAAGACCCCGCCACCCCATGAATCCTTCACGCGGGTCGCTCACTTACCGCAGTGCTCCAGTGTGGGCCGTGGGAAGCTGGCGATGGGCCTCCCCAGGGCTCCCCAGGGCTGCAGCACTCTAGCGCGGACCCCGGGATGCCGGCAACGGGCAGGGCCGGCTCACCCACTAGGCGAACTAGGCATTTGCCTAGAGCGCGAGCCAGCCCTTAGGGTGCAGGAGGAAAGGCAGGGGCGGCTGCAGGAGCCCGGCGCACTCCCGGCACTAGGAGCCAGAGGAGCGCCCTCTCCATGGAGCCAGGCACCGAGGCGCCCCCTTGAGCCAGCCAGCCAGCAGCAGAGGGGGGCGGGCGGGTGCTCCTGACTGTGTGTGGCTGTGGCAACGGGGCTGCCGCCACTCCACACATTCAGGAGCACCCACACCCAAGAAGGGACCCCCTCTTTCTTCCCCACTCTGGCCAGAAATTGTCCGCTGCCGCCCTCTCTAGGAGCGCGGAGTCTAGGAGCGAGGGATTTAACCCTCCCCTGCAAGAAGCGAACAGAGTGGGGAACTGGGGGGAGGGGAAGCACTCAGAGGGGAGACAGTGCACCTTCCCCCGGCTGCAAACAGCTGCCCGCCCTGCAGATTCCCCATTTGCAGAACTTTGCCGGACTAGGACTCCTCTCAGGGTGCAAAGTCAAGGAGGAGGAGGTGAAAATGCACCGAAGGGACGAATGGGGACAGCCCCTCCCTCTCCTTCGGGTCCCCATGGCCCCGGAGGGTGTGGGGTCTTCTTCGTGCCTCTCTGCAAAGCCAGGAGGCCTCTGCAGAAGCAGCACCACAACCCTCGGGGCGGAGTCCTCCGGCGCCTTCCCTGGGACCGTGGCTGCAATGCACTGAAAGGAGGTGCCTAAATTTCCACAGTGGGGGGGCGGGCCAGGAAGACTCCCTTTCTTTCTCCCTTTGGCTCTTCCCGGGGAAAGCTTCCCCAGAAACATCATTCCTCCCCCTCCCCCTGCAGTCAGAAGGACAACACACAAACACACATCTGCTTCACCAAAGTGTTTCTTCCTGAGGGCTGCTGCGCCGTGAATGGGGACTTTCCTGCCTCCTTTGCCGCCCTCCCTCCTTCCCTCCGTGCCGAGCGCCCCATAGGCTCGGGCTTTGCAGCGCTGCCCCGGCGAGGAGGAGGAGGTGCGGTGGGCGCTTTGCCGGCAAGGCCCAGCTGCAGTGCTCCAGCATGGGCCCTGGAAGGCTGGTGACGGGCCTCCTCAGGTCTTCCCGGGGCCGCAGCGCTCCAGCGCGGGTCCTGGGAGGCCGGCAACGGGCCTCCTCAGGCTTTCCCAGGGCCGCAGTGCTCCAGTGTGGGCCCCGGGAGCCCGGCAATGGGCCTCCTCAGGCCTCCCTGGGGCCACAGAGCTCGAGAGTGGGCCCCAGGAGCCCAGCAATGGGCCACAGCATGGGGAGCTGGGGCGGAGCTTGCTACCACCACCATTTGTGCCAGCTTCTGGGCAGCCGGAGCGGCGCCCCGGCGCGCTCTGCCCCCAAAATACCCCTGCTGAGGTGTGATCGTAGTTTGGTCCTAGAGCATTAGGAAGGGACACTGGCCAGCTTTTCTCTTTTGGATGCTGTGTTTTACCTGCCTTTGAACTTAAATACTTGGTGCCACTTTAATCATTTTCTCTGCTTATTTCATTGTTGCTTTCTAGTTTTCTCTGCTTATTTTATGGTGTTGTTTTTATTATTTTAATGTTGCTTTTTGTTATATAATTTTATTGAAGGCAACTTAAGATATTGGTATGGAGAGTATGCAAAAACATCATAAATAAATAAATACAATTTGATGAATGAATGAAATAACAATAAATAAAATTTCATGGGTTAAATCACTTGCCTACACTTGTACCATTAAAACAGACACTGGGATGGATCCAATCATCCTCCATGGAGATTTCCTCCAGCCTAAAAAGTCTTCCTTCAGTTTAAGTGGCTCTTGCTCCACTTTCCTCAGTGGAGTAGTGGGATAGGTTAGAAGCTACCCCAATGGACGGATCAGAACACTAAAGCTGTAGTGCTCCAGCTACCCCAATGGACGGATCAGAACACTGATTTGAAGGAAAGTATATATTGCTATAGGTTGTATAGCTTCATAGCAAGCTGCCTTGGCATGAAAAATTTTGTCGTACCATAGCATCTAGTTTAGCTTGAGTTGTCTCACTAGTCTGCAGGATCCACTAGCCTTTAATGTTACTGTGGTATGAATAAGTAAGTGTGATACTATAGTTAGTGAGGTTTATAGACCTGTATTCAAATGTCTGCTTTGCCATGAAGCTCACTAGGTAAACTTGGGTCACTTTAACTACTCTACCCTCATAGGGTTGTTATGTGGATAATTTATTTATTCGCTTCATTTATACCCACCTTTCTCCCCAATGTGGAACCGAAGTGGCTTATATTTTCTCCTCTCCTCTATTTTGTCCTCATAACAATCCTGTGAGGTAGGCAACATTGAGTGTATGTGATTGGCTTAAAGTTACCTAAAAGGATTCCAGATTTGGGATTTGAGCCTGAGTCTCCCAAGATTCTGGTCTGACACTTTAACCACTACACACGCTGCTGTGCCCACACTGAGTTTCTTGGAAGAAAGGCAGGACAACAATGTGAGTAATGAATAATATGTGAAAGTAACCTGAAATGGTGATAAGGGATATTCACACTAGCATAACATGTCCATGTAATATATTTCCAAATTTTTAAGGCCCGATCAAAAGTTTATGAGTTCACTGTTGCTGCCATGAAAAAAGATGCACCATATCAGAACTTTAAATTGCCTTCCCAACTGGGTCAGCTGGAGGATATGTTTAGTTACCAGTGTCATACTTATTAGAGGCTCGTGAAATTGGACAACACACACAAGCTGGCCTAAATGGTTTTATGCTGATGGGATTAATCATGTATCCATATTATTTTAATGCAGTGCAATTATGGAAGTGAAATGTTATTATACTACATATTAATTTATATACTAAACAAAGAAAAGTGAAGGATTAATGTGATCTTTTGTTTTTAGATTTCGACCTGTTACACAGTGCCCTGCTCCATCACTACACCAAATGAATGTTTGTGGGTAGACTGGCTGATAGAGAGAAAGCTATATGGGCACCAAGCAAAACATTATGCCTGTATCAAGCGCAATGATGGCACATGCAGTTGGTATCGAGGTGGCCCTCTTCCAGAAAAAGAGTTTATTGATATGAGTGAACCATGAATTATGTTAACTTCATGCAATGCTGTGTGATCATTGATTTGAACTTTCAACAGCTATCTGTTACTTAGAAACAGAAACAAATTTTGCTGTGTAAATAAAGTACAGTGTTCATAGAATTCACATCCAGACAAGAAGAGGAGCTATCTCTTGGAGACAGCTGCTCTCTACATTTCTTTTTATAGAGGGAAGTTATGTGGAAGCTCCTTTTTTTTAAAGCATACCTTTATTTTTATCGAAATGAATGTATCCATACGCAAGATTGATCAAAATTTGGAAAGCTGATAAGCTAAAGAAAAGAACACCTTCTTTTCATACCAAACAAAATTCCTAAGACTTTTTTGTGGTTTTTAAAAAGCCATTCTTTGTGTTCTGAGATAAAAGAACTTGGACAGAAAATATGTAAGATGCACTGTAATAACTTGCTACAAAAAGTCCAACGAATTAATTTCCCCATTTCAGATGATGTAAATTAAATGTTTGTGTGTATGATTTAAAATTCTTGACTTAATCTTCTGTATGTTGTTTACCGTGTCTTGTGTAGTGTTGTCTGAACGATTTGTTCATAACTATGTTATAATACATCTTTGATAATTAAAAACAGATCCAATGGATTTGAATATACTGTAAAAAGGTACTACTGTTCCATGATGTAATTATGACATCGTACTTCCAGTAAACATACTTTCTTGAGGTCAATATCCTATAGCTAATGGATAAAAAATGATTTAGGGAGCATTTGTAACCAATTCTTAGAAAGTATGGTTTAGATCCTACAAACCACCAATGTACGGAGTTTGTGTAGCTGAGTCTCTCCTACCTTCCATTCCTCCAGCAGCTCCCTATGATCCCAGATAAGAAGTGGAAACACAACAGCTCTTCACTAGATAAACAGTAAGGAATTAATTTCACTCAGTCCCCTCTTCCTTACTGCGGCACCCCAGTGGTTGTATGGTATTTTGTCTCTAGGGGTATACTAACCTTCAGCATCAGCTGTAGGGGGGGGGGAGTCATAGTGGGTTGCCAAGGGAAAAGGAAGAGAGGCAATATCCACAAATTCCTTATGCTGGTGATACATAGGATCTAACCCTATGTATTTGTTCAAACAAGCAAAGCAAAGGAAGGAAATGGTAGGCAAACTATAGGCATTCTCAAGGCAGACAGTACCAGTGTGGAAAAGATTTACTTTAGACAAATTAATAGCTAAGTTTTACTTGCTCTGTTCTCATATATTGGATGAGAATGTCATCATCATCACTTCTCATGTTACATGGATTCCCACAACTTTGAGTATTCCATTATCATTGGGAAATGTGCCAGCAGGATACATTGAGGAAGGGAAGTAAATTTGAGAGTCTTTTTGGAGAGTTGTTAGTGTACAAATGTTGACGTTTTCAAAGTCTACTAAGAATATTTTTACCGACATCTGTTTTAAAAACTGATTTAGAAAACTGATCAGGATTAATTACTGGTCTCTACTGAATACTGAGCCGATCAATTCTTTTTTGTATTTGTGTGTGTGTGTGTGTGTGTGTGTATCTGGAAGTCATGTTGACCTCTGGTGGCTGACCCCTACTGGGGGCCTGGAGGATATTCGGAGAGGTGGCTGAACACACACAAAAACCTTTATTGGCATGAAAGCACAAAACATCATGGAAATACAGGAAAGTACTAAGATGCATCAGTCACTTACACTTGGCTATTCAAGCCTCGTCTTCTGATTGCATAATATAAAAATTTTGCAACAGCCTCCATTATTTCAAAATTAGAATTAAACAGAAGAAAGTGAACAACTGAGTCATCAGAATGCCAGCTCTTACCCTCTAGAAATGGAGTAATAAAACAAGATCGGATATCCCTATAGAGGGGGCAATGAAGTATGGTGTGTGTAGTGGATTCTACACACAGCAAGGACAAAGTCTGTCTACATATGAGGTGGCTGAACAAAGACTGCCCCTGTCCTCCCAATTTGGTATTCCAAGGAGGTCTCCCATCCAAGTACTAACCAGAGCTGACCCTCCTTAGCTGCCGAGATCTGAGGAGATTGGGTTTGCCTGGGCTATCCAGGTCAGGGCCAGATCAACACTTTCAATCTGCCTAGTAGCACAAATCTGATGTATAATCCATAGAAGCTGCAGAAATACTGCTGACATTGCTCTATTTCTGGCTGGGGCATTTTGTAACTACATTTCAGATTGCTGGGATGCTGGTGCAAGAAATATTCAACAAAATATGAAATGTCAAAATGTGTGCAGTATTGATTCCAAAGTCAATGGTGAAGCTTCAGTTCATTTGGAGGATGACTTAATTCAAGCATTTTCGTTTTAGTTCCGTAAGGAACTATTGGGGTTGAAATTCCTTCAAATAAATTGTCACAAGAATCTGGTGGGGATTTCAAAAAAGATTAATGTGTTCTAGATCATGAATGCTATGTTTCTTCAGGTATGATTATCACTTAAACTTCCCACTAGACTCCACTTTTTTGTTGCTTTATGGCAATATGATCTTATATTATTTTAACACAGTGAGAGCTCTTTTTCTCTCAGCCTGTACACTTACATTAAATATTAATAGAGAGCTGAAACAAATATTGCCACTGGGAACCATCTCTACTCCAGCACTACTATATTAAAATAAATGGCAACATTTGATTTAGAACTTTGGTTCATAAGCATATGCTAACAATATCAAATGCCAACAATGTTTTCATAAGCATAAAGTCGAGCCAATATAATGCTAATTAAAAGCAAGATGCAGATTCCAAAAACTTAATGCACCAGCTAATTTTTCTGTGTTCCTGTCACTGAAGACAATTACAGCATGAAGAACTGGCACTGCTTGCACTTTACCATATGAACTTTCCTCATTAAAGAAACACTAACCTTTCACAATATTCCTTGCTTGGGTTTACATAAATATACCGCATCCTGACCACTAATGTGACCTTTCTCAGTCATTAATGGAATTTATTTCTTTTAAAACATAATTTAAGCAGAACTGGCACACATCTGAGCACCATTTACTCACCACCCTTAATGATCTGCTTATATCCACCCATTCACCTTGCTAATCTCCTAGTGCAGTCAGGAGGGCCTGATTTAGTGTAGTTGCTTTTTTTGGTTAATTGTTTCCATCCCTAACCAGCCTCATAGCTAGACTATTTTTGGTGGGGGGCACTGGGGGGCATGATGTTCTCCGTGGTTTTCCATCCAAACTGGACAAACCTCAGTGGGATTGCAGAACTCTCCTAGGATATCCATACAGCCAAATTTTAGATGGATAGAATAAAGGGGTCCCCCTTTTTGAGACAATGAAAAGCATCCATGTTTAACATTATGTCAGAGGACTCTGGACGACTCAGCTCAGCAGGAGGGAGAAGACGTCTGTCAAGTAGGGCTCAGAGATATAAGAATCAAGGAGACCGGGAGAGCAAGGGAATCTCGGAGAGAACCATGGAAGATCCACAACAACGCCAGCAACACAGTTGCAAACGGAGAGCCGGCCCCGACAGAAGAGAAGCACGAAGGGTGGGTATGGGAGTGTTGTGGCTTTAAGCGGGAGGGGGAAACGGCTGATGAGAATAAAGAAGGAACCTGATCTCACCCGGTGAGGAAGTGATTAGACCGAAACAAATACTGTAGCAGCTGTGCTAGAACACTGACCAGGTGTTTTCGGGCTAATAAATGGGGAGAGCCACTCCCAGTTGGGGAGGGACTCCCAGATTCTGAGGTTTGAGAAGCAGCACTTCAACTTCTATCGCCGTTCCTCCCACCGCTTAAGACAACGAGCAGCTCGAAGCCCGCTTGGGAAGTGTGACACATTACATTACATGAAGAGATAGTAGCATGAGGAAGAGCCATACATACAGGCAAATTCATTTGGTGGCCAAAGGAGGGCAAGCCATCTGTGCAGTCAGGCAGCAGCAGCAGGAGCAGCAGCAGGACCTTAAAGTAGATTCACTTGGGATAAAGTTTGGACAGCAACATACAAGCAGGGGAGTACAGACCACAAGGGGAAATTTCGCACAGCAGGGCAGGCATTGGGAAGAGGGTGGGAGACAAAGTCCTACCCCACATCCTTCAGGATTGAAACACCTCACACATGTATGTAATCCAAATGGCTAAAGTTTGCAGTCAGTCAAGAAGGCCAGAGCCTCTCCCCACTCTCCTTAAGGAATACAACATATGCCCTTATTGTGAAAATCGTGGGTGCCTTGTAAAAATGAAACCAGTATAGTCAGAGAAAAGTGAGAATATAATAATTAAAGATGATTTTTTTTCATTACAGACTATTTAGATGGAGAATTTGTTACATCCCATTTTCTGAATTATTAGTAATAAAAATAATGCACAAGTAAAAGTGTTGGGTGGTGGAAAGGATTACCCAAGTGGCCTACATGTGTATATATCTCAGCTATAGGAGAATCCCCCCCTTTAATGTATCAAGAGCCCATACACCCGTGCATCCAGGGCAATTATTACTGGGAACATTTCCCAGGTGTATACAAGCATCCAAGATTTGCTCTAACACCTCATATGAGTGTGCAGATTCTTAGAAATAAATAGGCATGGGTTTAAAGTTAAGAATTAGCAAATTGAATACAGAGTTAGAAACGCACGCACACACTAAATATTCTACTGTATCTAAGCAAATGGGGGGGGGGGAGTAAGATATAAATGTCTGTTCTGGTGAGGAAAATCCAGTAAGGTTCATTGTGAGAAGGAAAAAAACCCAGCAGTGGCAAGAGAGGAGTGGAAAAGGGAAGTGTTTATGTATGCCAATTAGGTACATTGTACAGTTTGTTAGCCACCCTGAGCCCGCTTGCGGGATGGGCGGGGTATAAATATAATAAATAAATAAATAAGTGCAGGTATTAGGGGCACCTGCATTGTATGGCAGGGTTGATGCAGAGTCACACACACATTCCTATTACACATTCCCTCACAGGGTTTAGAGTCGGTTGGTGGAGCCCATTATTGTGATGGGACCCAGTGGCTGTGTTGCAGGCAGCAGCTAGAAAGGTTCTGTAATGGCTGCCACCACTCTGGTATGGGTCTCCTTGGGAGGGCCCAGAGCACCCACCCTACCCCTTTATACACTCCTTTTCCAGTAGGTTTCACTTTATAAGTGACCAAATGAAGCATGAGGACCCAGAAAGAGTGACAGACTATTTTTATTAAAGAGATTTAACATCAACTGTGATTCAATAATGTGTAGGAAAAATGAGCACAGTAGAAGTACGTACACCAG